GGAGGTATCTTTGTCTGGTTTTAATATCAGGGTAATAATACTGGTCTCCTAAAATAAGTTGGTAAATGTTCCCTTCCTTTCTTTGTTTCTTTGTTTCTTTTTGTTTGTTTGTTTCTTTGTTTTTGTTTTTGTTTTTTTTTTTTGAGTGGGGGAAGAGTGTGCAGGATTGATGTTGATTCTCCTTTAAGCATTTGGTACAATTCATCAGTAATAGCATCTGGCCTTTGGCTTTTCTATGTGAGAAGCTATTGATTACAAAGCATTCCATTTCCTTGGTGTAGGTCCTTTCAGATTTTGTTTCTACTTGAGTCAGTTTTTCCGGTTTATGTCCTAGGAATGTGTCCATTGCATCTAGATTATCTAATTTGTTGGCATGTAATCAATCAATAGTATTCCTTGTAGTCATTTTTATTTCCAAAAGGTCAGTGTTGATAATCCCCTCTTTTCTTTCCTGATATTAGTAATTTGAGTCTTCTTTCTTTCTTTCTTGGTCAGTCTAGCTAAAAATTTCTCCTTTTTGTTGAAAGGAGTTCTCTTTTCAAAGAACTAATTTGGTTTTTTTATTGTCTCCATTGTTTTTCCTATTCTTTCATTTATTTCCACTCTGATCCTTATTATTTCCTTCCTTCTGCTTCCTTGGATTTAGTTTGCTTTTTCTAGTTTCCAAGGTTCATGGTTAGGTTATTGATTTGAAATCTTTCTTCTTAAAACAAAAATTTCCCTCCAATCACTGCATCATAAACTTTGTTATATTTTTACTTTCATTCCACTCAAAGCACTTTCTCATTTCCATTATTTTTTTTTTTTGATCCATTAGTTATTTAGAATTGTGTTGTTGAATTTTCACATGTTTTTGGATTTCCCAAATTTCCTTCTGTTGATTTTCAATTTCATTCCACTGTGGTCAGAAAACACTTTGTATTATTTTAATCCTTTCAAGTTTATTGAGGCTTGTTTTAGGACCTAACATGCTCTATCCTAAAGAGTTTTATAAATATCTTTTAGATTTAGTTTGTAGTATTATTTCAACGTTTATTTATTTTTGGGACAGAGAGAGACAGAGCATGAACGGGGGAGGAGCAGAGAGAGAGGGAGACACAGAATGGGAAACAGGCTCCAGGCTCTGAGCCATCAGCCCAGAGCCTGATGCGGGGCTCGAACTCACGGACCGCGAGATGGTGACCTGGCTGAAGTTGGACGCTTAACCGACTGCGCCACCCAGGCGCCCCAGTTTGTAGTATTATTTAACTCTCCTGTGTCCTTGTTGATCTTTTATATTGCTCCATTACTGAAAGTGAAGTATTGAAGTCTCCAGCTTTTCTTGTTGAATGTGTATTTCTGTCTTAAATTCTGTCAATTTTTCCTTTCTTTACCTTGAGTCTCTTTTGTTAAATGCATGCATTTTTTGTAATCATTATGTTTTCCCGGTGGATCATCCCTTTATTATAAAAAAATCCCTTGTCTTTAGTAACAAATTTTCACATAACATCTATCTTTTTTTTTTTTCTGATATTAGTGTAGCGACTCCAGCTATCTTTTGGTTATTGTTTTCATGGTATGTCTTTTTTCATCCTTTTATTTTATCTTCCTCCTATATTGACCTTTTTTTTTTTTATCATTATGAAACGTCTCTTTTTATCTTTGGCAGTATGTTTGTCTTAACATCTAGTCTGATACCTGTATAGCCACTCTTGCTCCTTTATGTGTATGTGATATATCTTTTCCCATTCTTTTATTTCACCCTCTTTGTGTCTTTGAATCTGAAGTGTGGCTTTAGACAGCATATAGTTGGATCATTTTTAAAAATCCATTCTGCAAATCTCTCCCATTTTCATTGGAGTGTTTAGTCCATTTATGTTTACCATATTACTGATAATTATAATTTAATTGAGAAGACAAAATTTACATCTACCATTTTGCTGTTTGTTTCCTATGGTTTATGCTGTTTTGTTCTTCCATCTTCCATAACTCCTGTTTTTTCGTATTAAGTAGGTATTTTTGAGTATACCATTTTAATTTCCTTGCTTTTTCTTTCACTATACATATATTTTTAAGTTATTTTCTTAGTGGTGGCCCTGTGGATTATAATTAACATCTGAATTTGTAGCAGTATAGTTCAGATTAGTATCAACTTAATTTCAATCGTGTACAAAACATCGCTCCGTTACCAGTTTTATGATTATTGCTTTGTGCATCAGCCTTTTAAATCAGGTGGGAGAAGAAATACTACATTAATACTGTCTTTATATGAGCGAGATGATGGGGGCTCATGGAGCTGGTGAGAGCAAGGTTAGTTCCACATTTGAGCATTTTTAAGAAAATAGAATCTGTAAAGAAATAGCTTTTACTGGAAAAATAGTTATTAAAATGTCAGTGTGATTAATTTTTAAGTGGTGGAATAAACGGTAGGTTTATTTTTCGCTATTCATGTTTTCGGTGTTTTCTATTAAGAACATGTGTACCTATTTAGTAATTTAAGACAAAAACATAAAAGTATTAAGCTAAATTATTTATGTTACCAACTGTAATGGAGTTCTTAAGTAGAGTATACTAAGTATAATGTAACTTTTTTTTTTTTTTTAACCACTATAGGTAAACCCCCATCTTTCTAGATTCATTAGATTCTTCCTGTGTAAAGTACGGAATTTTCTTAGATTCCGTATGGCACCAGAATTCTATGCCTTTTATATATTTACCTAACTAAATAGTTTTTAATTTTGAAATAATTCCCGATTTACAGACAAATTGCAAAAAGGACATTACAACCTTACCATAAATCTGGAATTTTTATATAACCTTTATTCGGGTTCTTCAAATGTTAACCTTTTATCACATTCTCTTTATCATTCTCTCTTTGTATGTGTATATTATCACGTGCATATAAATACGCGTGTGTATGTATTGTTACTGCTTTTCCTGAACTGTTTAAGAATAAATTACAGACATGATGCCCCTCCATCCTTAAATACTTCAGTGTGTATTTCCTAAAAATGAAGATCCTCTCTTTTTTAACCTTAGTACGTTACCAAAACGAGGAAATCAACACTGATCCAGTAGAAAGTCTCTGAAGCCAAGAAAGAAACGAAAACAAACAAAAGCCCGTGCTGCATTCAGTTATTGTGGCTGTCTGGTCACACTCAGTCTTTCATAACTTTGGCGTTTGTGAAGAACACAGGCTAGTTACTTTTTAGAGTGTTCCTCATTTTGGGTTTCCTCATGACTGGATTCGGGTTCCGCATTTTTGGCAGGAATACCCCAGCAGGGATGTTGCCGTGCCTTCACGGTACGTCCCTTTGGTACGCACATGAAGTTCGTCTCATTACTGACGCTGTTAAAGACCTTGCGCCCCTACCCCCCAAAGGAAGCTCTTAGCTTTTCGGGTGGCTGTTTTTGGCGTGTGAACAACAGAAATTCATCTTGCGCTGTTCCAGAGGCTGGAAGTCCAAGATCAGAGTGCCCGCATGGCTGGGTTCTGGTGCGGGCCTTCTGCAGGTCACAGGCTGCCGACTTCATCGTGTCGTCTCACATGGCAGAGAGCAGGGAGAGAACGCAGCTCTCTTGTGACTCTTAGGAAGCTCTTGGGGGCTCTTCACTTAGTAACTGCTGGGTGCAGTTGATGATTTCATATATGATGTGATCTATTAACTCCTGTGGAAATTAACAATAGATATTTCATAGTAATGACATAACCTGTCATCCAGTTGAATTGTATTTGTATATGCTTTAGTTGTACTTTGATCCTAGGTTAATAAATTGAGGCAGTTAGCAAGTATGCTATTTTGAAAGTATACAGAATCTTTACTCTTAGAGTATCCTTAGCTTCCTTTAAGTAAAACTATTTTATTTACAGAACTTATTAATTGCGTGTCTTTCTGAAGAGAACTGAGTTTTCCGCATATGTTACGATTGTAAACCTACTTGGTCCACCCCCACCCTTCACCCCCAGTTTCCATTGTTGTCTACTTCATTTTTAGCTTTTCATCACCTTTTTGGTTATTGTCTTATTTTCTTCCCAGCTTAACCGTGAACCTAAAAAAACTAGAGTGTCCCGTTCCTTTAGCCCTCATGTGGGATTGAAAACTGTTTTCTTCTGTGTATTTTTATCACTTCTGCTTTATATTTATGGTCTTTTCCTTAATTGAGGCTAAAGGTAATTTCTTTTAATGGAATGATTATAGAGTGAGTTGTGAAAATATTTAGGTTTTAAAGAAACCAGAGTAGGTATGAGGCAGTTTGGAGGAGGGGCCCAGTTTGCTTTATAACAGATTACTGTGGTAAGAATTGATGGAAAGCCTGGCAGGTCCCCTATTAGTAGTCGAAACTTTGTTTGCACAAAGTCTTTTTCCACCTTATATATATTAAACACGTACTCTGTGTTAGCCACTGGGTTCTGGAGATACAGATACAGAGGTGGTCAAAACCAGCCCGGGTTCCTGTCTTCATGGAGCTTGGTCTAGTGGGGGGCAAACATAAAATCATTCACAAATATGGGGCACCTGGGTGGCTCAGTTGGTTAGTTCAACTCTTGGCTTTGGCTCGGGTAATGATCTCACAGCTCATGGGTTTGAGCCCCACATCGGGCTCTGTGCTGACAGTGTGGAGCCTGCTTGGGATTCTTTGTCTGTCTGTCTCTCTCTCCCTCAAAGTAAATAAACTTAAAACAAAAATCAATCACAAATAAATGTAAAATTAGATCTGTGAGCTGAGCTACGAGGAGAAGCTCAGGATGGCAAGAGTATAAAATAATTAGGGAAATTTGGTATAGTTCGGATGTTCTGGAAAGGCTTTTCTGAAAGAGTTAAGGATGTACAGGAGTTTACATAGGTTAAAGAAGGTGGATGGGTGAATTCAGGAGTAGTGGCATCTCCATGGAGGTGGGCGGAAGTAGATGGATTGGAGAGAAATTTAGGAGGTCTTATCACCAGGTCTTGGAGTGGGGATGGGAGCACAGGGTTTTAAGAACGAGTCCCTGATTTCTGGCTGTGGTGCCTTTCACTGGGATGGAGAACACCGAGAGGAGAGAAGAGAGCCTAGCGCTGAGGTTTGAGAAGCTCCAGTATTTGATGGCCAGGAAGCGGGGGCGAAGAGACAGGGCAGAACAGCCAGACCCCCGGGGAGGTGAGGGGTGAGCTAGTCTTGCAGGAAGAGGGAGCGGACAGAGGGGCAGACACTGCGGGGAAGGAGGAGAAGGACTGAAACTGCTCATTGGGTTTAATGTCATAGCGTCCAGTAATGGCCTGAGCAACAGTGGCTGTGGGAGAGTGAGGGCTCTGGAAAAGCCACACTGGTGCGGGGTCAGGGGTCACTCGGTGTGAGGAGATGGGGACAGCAATACAGAGGACCCTTTGGAGAAGCCCGTCCCCTCTGGCAGCGGGAGAGCAAGGATGGCTGCAGGTGAAGGTGGTTTGCTGTTCTGTAACGAGACACTGAGAGAGCTCATTTTTGAAGAAAGGTGGTGAGGGGAGTGGACAGTAGCCCAGCTGGTCCGGCAGATGTGACCGTGAGGGAGCCGTGGGGGATCCACACTCCGCACGGGGCGCTACCGCCGGGCATGCATCTCCGCTGTGCTCAACGTACACGCATTGTCACGCAGTCACTGATGCGTCTGCTTGTGTTTTTGCCGCCATCCCTGTTTGTCAGAAGAATGATGAAAACGGAAACTGCTCGGGGGAAGGGATCGAGTTCCCCACCACGAATCTGTACGAGCTGGAAAGCCGCGTTTTGACCGATCACTGGTCCATCCCCTACAAGCGGGAAGAATCACTGGGCAAATGCCTGTTGGCGTCCACCTACCTGGCCAGACTCGGTAAGCTCTCCCCCCGCAGGCCCCAGGAGGGGGGGGTGGTGGACGGGTGGATCGATACCGGGCCTGGCCTTAATCCTCCCTCTTGTCCCTGCGCGTCTGGGTGACATTCGATCATTTACTCTCCTGGTCTCCGTCTAGCCCCCGTGGAATAAAAGCTTTGAATTGAACCACCTGTTGTCTCCCAGCTCCAATAGAGTATGAGAGTCTTCAAAATATAATTGAGAAGCTTTGTGGAAATTGAAAGGAACATTGTCCACAAAAGCTTGGAGCATTTTAAGGTTCAGTTCAGTGGCTTTTTGTCCTTTAAGAGAAAAAGTACTACTTACTTAGCAAACATTTTGGGCATATTAAATGTTTGGCACTGTCTTCAGTACTTTATAAATATTAAACTAATAGAGTAATAAGCTATCTCTGGGTTGGAATATGGGTGTCCGTGTAAGGACGCTTCTAGACTCTGTACTGAAGAAAAATAGTTTTCATATTCAGTTCAGTTATGGGATGAATTGGTCCACTGTTTTATGATTTTCTTTTCCTCATTAAAAGTATACGTGGTTTAATCTACCACCATGATTAAATATGAGGCACATCAAAAGGAAATATTTTGACTGGGATCAGATTTAATCCTCGTGGCCTCTCGTGGTACGTTCTGACTGGCTTCTCAGCAGCAGCATTTATTGCGCGCCTGTTAGGATGTGGGTGCTGTGCTACGTGGCGGGTCTGAAAAAAAGAAAATGTGTCCAGCGGTATTCCCAGCGATAAGCAAAATACATTATTAAGTGTTGTGTGTTTTTTAATGTATTTCAGAGGATAATTTGCAGTGGAGTCATTCATTCACTTAGCTAGTATTCACTTACTGTGTGCCAGGCACAGTTCTGTGCGTTTGATAACACGGAGTTCATCAGTTTGTTTTAGGGAAGAAGGGTGATTTGGGTATCTGTTGAGAATACTTTTGTTTTTATAGAGCTGTTTAAGATAACACTAATGGCTAGTAAGAAGCTGCTGTTGGTGTTTTATTAGCTGTTTAATCAGATCATTTGAAGTTACTCTGAAAACGGAAAACTAAGTTCAGCCGTTTCACTTCTAATTAGTAACTTATTATACTATTAACCAATGCATAGGAATTGGTTCATATTAACATTGTGCTATTAACAAATACATTAATACTGTGATTGTTTCTCAGTCTGTTCCTTCAGCAGGAAAAATGTATATATATATGTATATATATTCTGCTTTTAATAATCCCTTAAGAAGGTTTCTATAAATAACTAGTCCCATGGGCATGAATTTGGAATGATACATATGATTTCTGCAAACTGCCTAAAATCTTAGTAAGGCATATTGTTTCATTTATTTTGCTAAGGTCTTTCCGAGTCTGATGAGAATTGTAAAAGATTTATGGATAGGTGTATGCCTGAAGCATTTAAAAAGGTAAGAAAAAATGCACGAGTCTGGGTTTTTTTTTTGGGGGGCGGGGGGGACCGAACAGGCTTTTTGTTTTAGTTTCTTGTGGGAGGCCAGTTTACGGGTCTTGTTCACGTGAAGAATCCCCCAGTATGCCCAGAGTCACTCTGAATTTGGGGCTTACGAAGGATTCACTTTTACATTTAACTGTTCGCCCTGTCACATTTACTTCCATCTCTTTTATTGCCGAAGAATAGGTGAAGGCTCACTTATACTTGGAAATTGCGCATCTTCCTAAACTCAGGCCTGTGGCATTGGGAAAGATAATACTTACCCAAATACGAGCCATTTAATCTGATTGTCATACTGAGGCAGAAGCAGGCGTTTTAAACCATGCAAAGTTTGACCGGATTGAGTATGTTTCATGGCAAGTGGCACGCGTATGGCAGCATTTCTGTCAGAGCTAGAGCAGTGTGCTTCCTCCCATTCCGGTCACATCGCTTAGAAAGCAATTTTTCTTAACAGGGAGAATAGCAGATCACAGGACTTGTGTTTCTGAAAGCAGTCTAACTCAGCATGACTCCCTTTGCGGGACATGAGTCCTGAATCCCCAAAAGAGCAGAGACAATGTCATAGACACTGTAGTTTTCGCCAGTGCACAGCCCGCGCCTGCCTCTTCTGGGAAAGAGCTCAGTAAATCTTTGTTGAATGAATAAATGAGTCTCCTGCTGTCTTGTCCTTCTGGGTTTTGACATCCATTCTAGTCCCGTATGCAAGGAAGTCACTAGAACTACAGATGGGTGAAGATTGTATTTATCTTAAAACCCCGTAAAATAAATTGTTCATTTGTAAACTATCACTCCCATCTACATCTTGGTAGCATCTCCCTCGCTTCAAGGCTTAAAAAATACCAAAATTAATTTTAGGAACAAAAACAGCTGCATCTTTGAAAAAAGTGCAGAATCTTTTAAAATTGTCATTTGGGCGGGGATTATATGGAATCAAGGCTTATGTTCATTTTGGATGAATTCATCTACCAATTTATCGTTTAAGATTATTTTAAACTTTTATGAATTCTGTTAAGAATTACAGTAATTTTTTTAATAGGGGAATTTTTACAGTGTGACAATACTGTATGTAGCACATTGCACTGTATGTATAAATTTACAGACAAAGAAAATACAGGCTTATTCAAAGTTGCGGAAAAGGATTTATCAGTGTAAGGAGAGGACCTTTAGGTTGATGATCTCCAGATCCAGAGAGCCCTGTGTCAACGCGGGTCATTGGCAAGTTGCGTATTTGGAGTATATTACTCTGTGTGCAGAGATAGTCCAGAGAACAGTTTTATATTATGTGCTCAGCTGTTTGTAATAGCATAAGTGGTCCAGCGGTTGGTTGCTAGGTTGTTTTTTCCCAGAAAACTACGAGCACAAAGGTACCCTACGTTCTGTTGTTCAATGTTTATAGAAAAATGTATGTGTTAAGTTCCCTTTACAGTTAAGAGCTATTAAAAAGGGTTCTTGTCTGGGGCGCCTGGGTGGCTCAGTCGGTTAAGCGTCCGACTTCGGCTCAGGTCACGATCTCGCGGTATGTGAGTTCGAGCCCCGCGTCGGGCTCTGTGCTGACAGCTCAGAGCCTGGAGCCTG